AATGCCTTTTGTCAGGATCATGTTAGAAAACTTAAAATGACAGTACTTGAAAATTGTGAGAAATTCTGATAAAAGGGGTTTTTCTTTTAAAGATTTTTCATTGCCGATTTTGTTGGAGGTCTGAGTGCTTAAGAAAGAAAACCTTTTTATAACTCTAACTGCTGTAGTCAGTGTTGCTCTTGCTGTATTCTTTCTGTGTATTTATAATGCCATTCACCTGTAAGCCCTTTGTTTGTGGTCTCTGCTCCTGGTACCATACTAAGTTGTTTTACAGAATTCAAGCATGGAGGTAACGAAGGTATAGAGCAGCGATTCTATGTTCAGACTGCAAGATCTTGAAGCTAAAAGAAAAAAAAATATATATACTGACTTCTGTCTAGTATGACATTTTTTAGACTCCACGTGTGCCCACTACAGGCCTGACATCGCTTAATTTGTGAGCAATAATGACGTGTTGTGTTAATTTTGATGCTAGTTTACTTTTTTTTGAAGTTTGAAAAAATTGACGGTGTTGTACAATGAATTTACTTTTTTTTTATGAGAAAGATAATTTCAGATGTTTTAAACAGTAAGTACAATACAGTTATTTGAGCCACATGGTAGCTAGTGGTCTGAGGAGTATTAAATGGGAAATGAAGAGGCTCTGTACTTGTAAATATAGCACTGAAGAACAGAGGTATGCAAGTTTTACATGTGTATGACTGTAAATATAAACTGCTGAGTCTTGGTGTCCTCATTTTTCACTTTTTTTTTCCTTCCCTAACCCTTACAGAGCAATTTTGCAGATGGCCGTTTGCAATCCCATTATAAATCAGGCTTAGTACAGAAGGGTTTATATATTCAGGCTAAGTACCAGCGGTTACGTTCTGTTGGTGTAAGGGGATTTACCGCTAATAAATTTAGAGATGGATTTTTGAGGAAAGAAAAGGTAAGTTGGCTTGCTTTATTTTTCACTAAGCCATTTATAAAATATGAATATTCCTGTGATCCATTCCAGTTTTTAAATCCCCATGGAACAAGTTGGATGGGATTTTCTGATATTTTGGCTCTTTGTACTTTACAGGCAAATTTGACTCTGCACTCCTGTGTCCTCCATGTTATTTCATGGAAACTTGTTCAAACTTGCTTTGGGTAATTGCAAATGAGGTGGCCTCTGAGATTCTGCAGTTGCCTCTGTTTCAGTATTCTTTCCTTGAGCTCAGTTGATGTTTCTTTCTATCAATAGGAAGAGAAAGTGGCGCTCTGTGTAAAAATCTTACATCCTCTTAGGCTACAGTTTTAAATCAATGTGAAGGGTATTAATGACTTTTTTTTTGACTACCTCTGTGTGTTTCTCCTCTTCATGTTACCTTAAATTAAGCATGTACTTTAAAGTACACACTGTAGTGCTGCTCTGAATAAAGTATCCTACGCTGTGTAATGTCCATGTAAAATGGTTCAGTAAGCTCCAGCTGAGGTAATTAAGCACATCTGTTTTGTGATCATTTTTGGTGTGTATAGGACAATGATAATCTTGAACTGGAGAAGAACTTTTGAACCATATGAAAAGTTACAGCTTTTGTGAGGATCAATAATTAAAAAATTCTAAATCTTTTATTTGAATTAATCAAATATGATCAAAGTAGTATGACATTACTCATGACATCGGAGAATTAGATTAGGTGACCTACACAGCCCCTTGCAGTTGTGTTTCTATGTGAATTGTTTTATAATTCTGTGTCCACCTAGCTACAAGTAAATATACTTGCATAAGCATTTGTAGTTGGATTAGAGCTCAGTTCTTAGAGCACAGCAGCATGGATTCTTAGAGCGGTATGAAAAAAAAACTCAAGTTCACAGCCCAGTGGAGACAAAAAGCTAACCAGAAACCTCTACAATGCCACAAAAAAACTAACCAAACTAAAAACAAACAAACAAACAAAAACCAACAGACCACCAAACAAAAAAAAACAAACAAAACACAACTCAAGAAAGAAAACCAAACATTTTGGACAAGGTAAACGGGTTGCTTGTTATTGAACTATACCAGTAGATGCCTTTCACATTTACATCGACTGAGAAGTATGATCTCCGAAGGCTAAATTGAATTGGAATTAGTGGAAAATAGATGGAGAAATATTTTTCCCAAAAATTATGACCTTGTAAAATGGGCATAGAAGTGCCATAATTTTATTGTAGTGAAATTTCTCCCAATAATATCCAGTGCTCTTCCATAATTGCATATTAAGGTTCTTGTCTGGAACCTATAATGCATGCTTAACACAATCTGGCTGCTGGAGATTATGATTAGAATTAGAGAAGAATAAGAAGATCTGACTATTGATTTTTAGGCCTGATGAGGAACTTGAGTGCCTTTGAGTTAGAGTAAAATAAATCCTAAAGAATAAGTATGACAGCCATTTTCATAACAGTGTACTGATTGCTGGTTTGCTATTTCTTTAAACCCAAAAGTATTCCTGAGATTCTGGCATTTCCCATATTTTGCATATTGTAATGATTAAACTTATCCTTGAGATTTTTTTTTTTAACTGGTCTGAACATTTTGTTTTTTACCCCTTTGAAATAATTATGCATATACATCCCTTAAGGTACTGTCTTTACAGTTGTGGCTTCAATCCGTAATTGAAAATCTTGTATGTTGCATGCTATAATAGTAAAGTACTTAGGAAAACTTTCCTAAAAAGCTTTCCTAAATTCCACTGTTAAAACTTGAGAGTAACAAAATTTTTTTTTCACCTCTCTATAGGGAAATTTAAATATTCCAACAGAAACCTGAACTAAGCTGTGAACCTGAAGTTGAAACAGAAAATACAGCAAAGAGAGCATCTGTTCATTTTTTTGACAACTTTGTGAAGACTAAAAATAGGATAAAGGATCTAACTCTGTAACTTTCTTGATTAAAAACAACTTTATTTTTCAGTAGGGGAATGCTGCAGAACTTTTTTACAGTTTTAATAATTGCTTTTAAAGTACAGTATTCAACTGAAACATTGTAGTATGTACCTTTAATTCCTTTTGCATACCAGTCTCAAGTAAAGAAGTCATTGAAGGGAGTCTTATTTATTGAATTCTTTTTCTTCTAAGCGTGATGTTACAGATGGAACTTGAGTTGTTATACTCAGAGGTTTATATGCTGAAAGTTTATTGCTTATGTAATTAAAAAAAAGAAAAAAAAAAAGTGCCTGAATTGTTTGGTAATAGCACATTAGCTCAGGATTTTCCAAGTAATGACCTTTTAGGTTGTGCAATAGATTTTACACCTCTGTTCAGTCATTTCCATAAAACAGTATTTTGAATTACTTTAATAATATACTTGAGTTTCTGATGTGTGTATACATTTGTAAATTGTTAGGATGTTGGGACAACTTTCAGTATTTGATTAAAATGAACGGTAGCAGGCAGGTATGTAATGTACTGTAGCAGTAGCTTATAACTGCACTGGAAGCATGCTTGGGTTTGTTAGAGGGTTAGTTGGTCTGTATTCAAAATTATTCTGTCTCATTATATTTTTTCGGTGTATGACATTCTTGACCAAGCCACGTGTTCTCTACTCTATTTTGTCATAAATCACTTGGTGATTTCCTGGATTCTGAAATTGGGGCCTGAAGTATTTAATTACAAGAAAAACAAAAAATGTAAGTTTTTATAAGCATGTTGTCTAACAAAGCTGTCCATAATTGAAAAAATTTTAAACGCAGATTGTTTGTAAGTTTGTTAAAAATCCCGGTAAATCTATGAAGTCTACTGCACTGTGGTATTGTTACGCTGTGTCCAAAACTGAAGTAACCAGACATGTTTTCTAAGCAGCTGTAAACAATATCATGCTTATTTTCTTTTTTATAGCCTTTGCCTTAATATAGAATATATGATAGGGTTACATGTATGCATTACAGATTTGTTCAGACTCTATTGCCAGTGAATTAAAGGTGCATGGCAAGCAGTTTTCAGAGATGCTCTTATTTAAGAAAGAAGTTTTTCACTGCATCCACAAGGTATGCTAGAATGCAGGTTAGTCTCTGCTGTGGATAGCAGAGCTATGTTCAGAGAAAAGGAAATCTTTTTGTCTTTTTTTTGGGTGGAAAGTCAGTATGTGATTTCTTCATGCATTTTTTTTTTTTTTGTAATGTTTTTCCCACAATGCCTTCAGCAGAGAGGTTATATGAAAATGTAGGTATAGCTCAGAAGAGCTACAATAGTTTCACTGAAAATCTGCAGTTCCTGGGGTGTACTGCTTACTGTTCACAGGAAATAGGCAGGAAGTGTGCCACATTCATTGATGTTATGGTCATTCAACAGTAACATCAGATGGTTTGTTTCTAAAACATAAGTTTTCAGTTTAAGTAAATCTTAATGGTTCAGCTATTTTTTCAGTAACTTTGACATGCATACATAAAATGGGATGCTGAAGGAAAGAAAATCCATAGTCAAGTAAGGCAGGCACCTCTCTGCATATAAGAAAATACTTATTTACTGATGCTGTCAGCGATGAATCTGGCAAAATCACCCTGTGTATATTTACTCGGAGATGAAAATAAGGAATTGGAACAATGGGTTAAGTGAATGAACCCAGAGCAAATGTGGAGTAGCTGCAGCTGAGCAGCCTGCTGGCAGAGGAGTGCTGCATGTATCCTACAGATGAGGGCAGGTTTACCCTCAAGCTGACAAGCTATTCACACTTCTCCCACATGTGCCAAGGCACTGTAAAAAATGTAAGAAATGAAACCATATATGATACGGGACGAACTACTGAAGCTGTGTTGTCTTGTTCAACAGGATACTGCTGTTTCTGTAAGCTTCCTGCAGTGCTCTTACTAAAGCCTGGAAGAGAAGTTGTTGAGCAAATGGGAAAAGTGGCTACATGAGGAAACTTCTGATGTGGCAGTTTTGCTAACGCTGGTTGGAAGTAATGCTGAAGTCGTCAGACTTCAGTCGGTTCATGCCGCTTTAACCAGGTTCAAAAGCGTTGACTGTGGCTCTTCCTGATTTTGTGCTTTCTTACTTTACCTGTGCATGACTAGGTATCGTTTGTTTTGTACTTTAACAGTACAAAAGCTATTTTTATTTTTTATTTCTCCATCTGTGAGCAACGTATTACAAACAAAGTGTTTTTTGCTTGTTCACTGTCTTTGATCCCAGCCCCCTTGCCCACCCTTGGTTCCAAGGTGAATGTCGTATGATGAAATATAGTCACTGTTTCAGTTTAACTTTTATTTAATGTGATAGCATTTGCTCAAATCACATTCTTTACCAATAACTTTGCTTCACCAGTTTGGGATTCTATCATGGTAAAACTTCCTATATTTTGTAAAATTCATACAGAAGTTGAAGTCTGTGACTGGCTTGCATGATGTTACCTGGCGCAAGACATCGGTATGTAGATTTATCTTTGCGAATTATAGTCTTGTGTCTATACTCATACACAAATCAGCTGATTTTATTCTTTCAGCACAGAGAAGGCCTGTTGTACTGGAATATGTTTGGCTGAGAGCAATGTATAAACTTACTGAGTTATGAAGGCACAAGGAAAAGTGTTAAGTAGGAGGAAGGTCAATTTACTTGAATAATTCGGTGCCTTTCTGTATGGCAACTGCATTGTAGAAAACACCTGTACAAAGACTTAAGTAATATCCAGACTACTGCATTGTTTCTAATGGGAGCATGGACTGATAACTGTTGTTAAAATAACCACTTAATTTAAATGTGTCTAAGCCTCAGAAGGAAAACAATGTCTCTTGTATTAGTGAAGTCTGTCACTGCATTTGCATTGGAAGGGCAAGTTTAAAAATGTGATTGTCTAAAATTTTTCTAGTGTTGTTTTATACTTTGAAAATATAAATGTGAATTGCCTTTCTTTTGATTGACTTGAAATATCTGTTAAATGCTCATGTTATATTCTCAGTTGTTCACATGTAATTTTTAAAATTTTTTAAACTGCTATCCAGAATGCAACAGATTTAACATGACTGGAGTCTTCCCTTTAAGTGTCTGAAATAAGTTCCTGTGATGTTAGCATTATCGCTGATCCATTTAATCTCTACATAGATTCGTTGGAAACTTCATTTTAAATTTTGTGATGATTGAGTTCACAAGGTTAACAAATTTCTGGGGCTACACATTTACATATTAGCTAAGAAGGTACACATTTAATGGCTTCTACAAGCCTGCCTTAACTCTAATATAATTACTTAGATGTTTAAAATCACCTTACCTGATAGACTTAGATGGTCTTGAGACCTAGATATAACTGTCTCAACTCAGGTAACTGACAGCAAAGGATGGAAGTAAATTCAGCTGACTGCCAGTTGTGTTACTGGTTTACCTGCTGCCTTCCCTCCTAGGGCCTCAGGGTGAAATGCTGAATTTTCTTTGTGAACTTAGTTGCTTTAAAAACAAAACAGAAAAGATGACTACACTTCTGTGGTATTAAGGCAGGGTTCTCAAAACTTGTTCTGCATCGGAAAGTAATTTTCTGCCATGTCTTGGAAACGGATTGTGAGAGTTGCTTGGAGAACGTGATGAAAGATTATAGCATAGAGACTTGATTTCTCAGTATTCACCTTAGAAGACTACAAATGAGAGAGTTCTTTAACTTCCTTGCTTTCTGAAAGGATCTTTTCCCATGCTTTATAGAAACATGCTTCTTGCCTTTCTTTAAGCATCTGAACAGCTATCTACAAAGTTCTCTGTGGGAAACTTGAGACGTTCATCCTAATGGTTCTGAAGGAAGAAAAAAAGATGTTTCTGCACAATACGCTGGCCTGTGACAGACTTCATTCCATTGCTGCAGGATTTGAAGATGGGAGCTTATGAATGGAAATAAAGCCCCACAAGCCATTTCAAGATCTTTGAAAGCCTACTTGTAACACTTGACTCCTTAATAGACATTTAGCAGACATAAGAGAGACTTAATAGAACATTTAAGTGTGTTCTGTTTCAAGCTTGGTGAACATAAATTTTCAGTGTTGAAGAACAGAGGAAACTATTGTCGTTGTAACACCTGCCCCTTACTTTTGTGCCTGATGGCTTTTGTTGTTGAAGGGGGTTTGAGTAGGTATTTAGCCATGTGGCTTGAGAGCTCTGTGCTGCCTACCACTTAATAGTTGTCTTCTGTTTATTGCTCTGAATTTTGTCTAAGCAGTCTAAATCTCATGATGTCTTTTTAATATTTCATTTTCTGTAAATACTGTAGTAGATGGCTTTTTTTTTGTGATTGGCTTCTCTTATATCTTTATTCTTGAGGGAGGAGACAGGGTGGAAACAGTTGTTGGTTGAGTATGCCCTTCATGGAGTGAAAAAAGCCTCATTGTTTTAAGGTTAGCAGGATTCCCCCCCACCCCCCCCCACCTGAATGAGGCTGTGGACTGATGTCCACTTCTAAGGAATATATTGTTGACCTTATTTATACTGTAGTTTCACAAGGACCATTTAACGTGTGTGTGTGCACACGTATGTACACATGCAAACACAATATTAGAAACCTTTAATGTAGTTATTTCTATGTGGATAAGAAATTTGATTTTTAAACTACTGAAGATGGAGTTAAATGCAAATGCATTTTTAAGTCTGTAGCCTCTGAAGTCCACAAAGGTGCTTTTGACAATGTTATCCTGTTATCCAAAAGCCTCATTCCCAAGTATATATTAAGATGTAGGTATGTTTATATGTATGTTTAACACAGTTTATATATAATCAATGTAAATTTTGTTTCTACAGACAATAAATGTTTTAACATAATTTTTACTTATAATTCAGTGATTTGATTCAATAGTTATTAAAGTTTGGTGTAGTTTTCAGAGCTGTTCACATTTTTTTTTTTTTTTTTTGTTTTTCTAACATACATAACTCTTGCTTCCATAACTTCATGTCTTGCTTCTTTCTGAGATTAAAGCATCCATCTACCTTGTAGGCACACCTTTTTGGCTAAAGGCAGCTCCCTCTCCAAAGACATGAAAAATGAATCTCCCCTCATTACTAGGACAACTACTTTGTTCCTCTTGGGGAAAGTGTTTACATAAGATTTGGGTGGGATATAATAATAATACTTCCCAAATCTTGGGCTGTGGTCTTCAGAAGTGATGAACATGTTCTGAAGTGCATGTCAGGTTAGATGGCAGTTGCTAGTTTTCATCAATGCTGCTTTTAAAATCATCTTTTTAGCTTCTCTAAGCAGTTCCATAA